CTTTTGTCAGCTGCCATTTAGTTGATCAAACCTAAGAAATTGCAAAGCACTGTAAAGTGTGAATTACTTAAATAAGGCAATGTTAGTAATATAGATAATAAATTACAGACAAGACTGTCAAACTTTGTAACAAACTGTTGGTAAAACTTCTGTATCTAGATATGTATCGTATCGTATCGCAGCATCGATATCTAGATACGTATCGTATCGACTACTATGATGAGATATGCATCCCAAGTTAACCCAAAAGACAATCGTCTGTGTAGACACTTCTGGCAGGACCACCTGATAACACATCCAAAGAAATACTTTCCCTCAGTTACGAGGCCCTTCAAGCACCAACATGCATGTAGATCTATGGATCCAGCTTCAGAACCTACATCGACCCTAGGACAGTCCTTTGAGTGGCCTCTGCCAATATGACTTTTCAGTTTTTGTTTGCGAGTGACAATTATGGCCACTATTACTGCAGCTAAAGTCTTGGCCAAAATGTTTTCATATTTTGTAACAAGTAAGATCATTATTATTAAGATGAAATACAAATACACTTAGCATTATCAAACTGAGAAATGAATGTTATTCTAAGCATCTACATATGTAATTAGTATAATGAGATAAGTTCTATGGACACCATGAATGATATAATAGAACAGTAAACAATTTTACCAGACACTTGTAGAAAGGTGCGTAATTCAGCACTTCACCTATCACAATAAAACCTTACCAAAACATATATAAAGAGAAAGTATAATATCTAATTATTATAAATAGCGTCTATAACCTTATATCAATTCACATTAAACATTCAGTACTCGGTTGATCCTCCTCGTACTTTAATAACATCTACAAGGTGATGTGGTATGCTGTTAATGAGGTTATTGATGTTATCCATCGTGATTTCATCCCAACCTGTCACTAGAAGGGGCTGCAATTCAGCAACAGTAGCTGGTTTAGGGTCGTGGGTAGCAATTTTTCCAGCTCAGTACAATCTGGAGACTTTGCATATGGCAGAAATATCTTCTCCATGTGATGCCTGTAGGAGGCGCCAATGACTTTTCCTTGGAGGATATGAAGCTCAGTTTTCCACCATGATAAATAGCTGCCCAAACATGTACTGCATTACCTCCTGTTTATTGCCTGTGAGAGAAAGACAGACTTTCCTCATCTGTTCTCCTGGAAAATGACGAACACGAATCCAACCATTAGCTTTAACAAGCTAGAAACAGGACTCTTCTGATAAGATGACGTTGCCAGTGTCATAACTGTAGTTGGCATGCTGTCTTGGCTAGATAACACGGTGATAGTGGTGAATCCTGGTTAATATTGGTTTGGAGCTAGCCCTTCTTGCAAAATAACTTTCCTTGGTCATTCCCCTATTCACTGTTCTTCTGGATACCCTGGGATGAATGTCTTAATGTCATTCCTGTCGTAAAGTGTTGCAAAACTTATTTTGACCTCGACATGTTAACCTGATCAAAACACGGTCATGTTGGGCAGTAGGTGTTTGGCGTCTACAAGTAGACTTTTCTGGAACAATGTTTCCTGTAGTCCGATGACGTTTCAGGATTCCGGATAAAGTACACTGGGGTATCCTACTGTTCTGGCAATGCCCATTTGTTTCATACCATTTCTGGACAGTCGAACAATTTAATGCCCTATAACTTCTGACACACGACGAGGCATGGCTGTACAGCAAGTACAGAGAAATTGTTTGAATAAAGCAAAAACCAAAAACGTACCCTTTTATACAAAACAAGTGTGTATGCGTGTTTTGACGAACAAATGCTTAAAACAACCTATAAAGACTAGAATAACAACTAATATATGTTTGTACGATCATATACTACCTTATCTGTTACTACTCGGGCACTCACTTAATAATTAGTCCATGCGTGTAGATAATAACATCAATAAGGAACAGTATGCAAACATTTTTGCCAAGACTATATGTGCACTAGAACATTGAGATGAAGGCCAAGAGGGTAGAGCTCCCAATAAAGGTAAAGGAGCAAACAGTAATTTTAAATACCACTGTCAGGATCATCCAGCCACTTGGCTGGAATTGTGGGTACTTTATAATCACGAGGAAGACCAACTGTTGAAACAGATCCGCCAACACAGCAGAGGAGGAAGTGTGTCTGTTCTGGAATATACTCGTAAAGCTCTTACGAGTGCCATAGAGATTATTTGCCAGGCTATTATGGTTCATCAGAGATCCTCAGTTGCATTAAAGGATTTGCTGTCGCGAATCCTTTAAGTAAGTAATTCGAACTTCTCACCTTAATTGTTTACGTAAGTGCAGTAAATTGTACATATATATATATATACTTATTTATTTAATGGCGCAGTTTTCATTTATTTCTGTAAAATGTATATATGTCTAGAATTAATGTTTTGATTTGTATAGTGTAAATATGTAGTTATGGTTTTAGGTTTGGTGGTTTTACGTTCTTTTGTGTAGTACATATATATAGGTATAGTTTATCAGGTGTATTGTGGCCTTTCTATACGTATGGAAATATTTTCTATGATTGTTTGGTTTGGTTTTATGTAAAGGTTATTTTAAAGTATAGCTTTAGAGGCCCATTTTATCTTTATGATTTATTTGTAAAGGGTTCGTTTTATATAACTACATTAGTGGAGTGCTATTTACAGTTTTCATAGTTGAAAGATTATTTTTAATGTTTTCTTTATTAAGACTTACATTAGTGTTTTATGCAATGTATTTCAGTGGTAAAGGGTCTAGTACTGTATGTAATATCTTTAGTTAAGGATTTTAATTAAGATACTGATGTTTTCATTTTGAACATTTAAAGAGCGATATTCATTACTTATGAGCTTTTGTTTTGTTGTTCTATGTTAAAATTTGTTGCTATGTCTACTATGTCTACTTCAACATGAATTTTTTCTGGTATGCTTGTATTTATACGTAGTGTACTAGATTAACCCCTCTTCAAAAAAAGAGTAGGTATTATGAGTGTTGTAAGCAGGTAATTTTACCAGACCGAAGTGAATTATACCATTTATTGGGCACCATGAACTTAAAGGTCGATTGTTCTTTTTTTGTAGTTCTTGATCTAGAAATTGTCAAATTGGAAGGGGTGTAATACAGAACGGTGTTATGTGTCTGCTAAACCCTTAGTTAAGATGAAAAATATTTCATAATTATTGTGTTTTTGAGGTTTTCCACTTTGGACACAGAGAGTTACCCAAGTAGACACTTCAACTTTCACTAAACTGGCAATTAGCCTAATTGCCTGCAGAGTAGATAGCACGTTACGTTCAGAAGTAAAGTTATCTTCTCTGTCGGCAAAATGGATAATAGTTTAAGGCTGCCATGCCCTAGTGCTCGATTCATATTGGACAAAGCTTGTGTGTACAAGGTGAATTCGTGCACAAATCCGGCTTTGTTAATGCTTTTGTTTTTATATATAAAGCATACAAAGCTGGGTTTGCCCTGGTGGAAGGAATTTTCTATATAGTGGTGAGTGATGATGTATATTTTCCAACTATACATAGAGTGATTCCTTTGAAACCTTTCTGGGGCAACATTTAACTACAGACCTAACTATAGAGCTAATGTTAACTTTAGTTGTACTTAGGAAGAGCTAATGTTAAATTTAGCTGTATTTAGAGAGTGTTAATGTTAACTTTATCTGTTTTTAGGGAGAGTTAATGTTAACTTTAGTTGTATTTAGGGGGAGCTAATGTTAACTTTAGTTGTATTTAGGGATAGTTAATGTTAACTTTAGTTGTACTTAGGGAGAGCTAACGGTAAGTTTAACTGAAGATGAACTCTCTGTATTTCACTGTAGAATGTAGTGTTTGTTGGAAAACTGAGGTTTGAGTTTAACTTCAGGGGGAACACATCAAGATAAGAAATTTTGAATACAGATTTATGCCACTCTTATCAGTTCGACACACACACTGCTGACTACTTGCTCTTGTATCGTGATCATGTGTTTGTAAATCAATTTTCGTGTATTCGTTACCCTACTGGCGTCGAGTCTTGCTATTAGACGATCCTTGTTGGAGATAGGAAGATATTAACAGTGAGCCAAACTGACTGTTCTGAGAAAAAACCGTTCTACCGGAAATATCGCATAGGTATGACATTTTTGTTACTGATCATTTCTTAACTAACTTTGGGTTGCATGCTTTGGAGATAACAAGCGATTTTAACGACAAATTAGTTGTTTGCTCCAAGATTCATTTTAAATTATGACAGTTTGTTAAGGTATTTATCAACATAATAATATACTTAAAAAAGGAGTAAAGAAGTATCTTACCCTTAGTTTGGATTACAGGAGCTATAGCGGCACGAGTACAGCTGGAGAACAGTTTATGATTAACTTTTGACCCATCGTTGGAATAAGGATTCATTATGAACTGGCCTTTTACACCCCCAGGACTGCATTTAGGGTTAGATGTAGAATCATGCGGGCTACCAAAACTATGACCAAATTCGTGGGTTACAGTCAAAGCCGTGGTTGCTTTTGGTGAAGGTCTGTTGTTGTGTTTGGTTGTTACAATGAGAGTATTGTAGCTCCGGAAATTATGATTGATGTTTACTGGAGGCTCACATATTCCCCCAATATAACCATAAGTACTGTCGGAATCTGCTATGTATGCTAAGCCCAATACATCGTTCGGAAGATCTCGATGTAAGAAGCCTAAAGCTAAGCATTTGTTTTGAATATGATATGTAAAGCTGTTCAAGATTTGCTCTGCACTTCCGTCGCCACTAAAAAACGGATTATCGGTGTCAAATGCATTCGAGAAAATTGTAACTTTTTCAACGAGAAAGCCAACTTTGAAACCAATATTAAAATCAGTTGACATGAAAATGTCGTTGGCACTGTGAACATAATACAGCATTTCAGAAATTATAGCTTCTCTGTCACTGTTTCTGCTAGAATAAAAAGTATGATCTGCCACTAATTCCAAGCTGCATATTTTATTTTCTTGAGTTGTTGTGGATCTCTTCTCTGTAGCAATTTCTGGGTTACTGTAACAAGAAGATACTATACAGTCCAATAGTTTCAACAATGTAGATTGCGATTGAGAAGTTTTTAGAATGTGGGTTATATAATAACTAAGATGAAGTACGTTTTGTTACTTACAGCTATTTAAGATTTTCATTTTAGACTATATTCTAATGCTTATTGAATAAAATATGAAAACAGAATGATGCAGTTTAGTTGATCTTTTATGCAAATATTTTTGGTTTTCTGTTGGTGGTATATTTTACTTTTAATAAGCCATCTGTATGTTTCGTACAACAAATATTATCCTGGTGAATAGACCAAATTAGGGAATTATTTTTTCACTGGGATTTATATAAAAAACCTTTAAGATGTACAATATATATATATAAAAAAACAACAAACTATTTTTTTATTATTACTGATAACAAATGAATTATTATTAAATATCTAGGAAATAATGAGGAAACGTAGGCATAAACATTTTTGATTTGTATGTTAGTGAAATTACACATTGAAGACCTTCAGTTTTTAAAATTTAGACAAAAATATAATTAGCACATTTATTTATTTTCCCAAACTGTATTGATTTATATAATTATTATTAATATGAAAAATAATTTGGTTCCTAGTTTTAACTATGCTCCTAGAAACTAGGTCTACGTAAGTAATCGTCATCGATGTTACCAATAAAAAAAAAGTTGTACAGTAACTACAATTTACCAAAACACACTACGTTCAAAACTACCTGCACTTGCGTCATTTTTAAAAATCTAATCCCAATGAAATAAATATTTGTTTTTCAGACTTCCAAGTTCCTTCAAAATTTTCATTGATCGTTCAGTTTATTTATTTGACGTGTTAATTTTTTATTTTGTAAAAAAATCGTGTATTTTAATTATTTTTACAAGAAACAATGAAACCAGTAATGCCAATGGTAGTAGGTATTTTAGGTAGGCCTATTTGGTAAATATATCAAATTTCATTTTAAATTATGATACTTACTTAAGTTGACTGATAATTAACTTTGATACTTTTCTTGATCTTGTCAGAATGTCTGTTCTGCGCGGTCCTTTCATATAGATATCTATTTCTTTGCAAGTGTTATGCGACTGGAGATTACAAAAAATAATATCTGAATACTTGTAGATAACAGTTCCATAGCTTCCATTAACTCTAAAATAATTTTTATCAGCTAGATCTGTGTAGAAGGTGTCATTTTCATCCTGCACTGTTCCAACAAAACTTCCTTTCCGTACATAACCGTATACTGTAGAATGTGGCATACCTTTTAAATATCCAGTGTAAAAAATATTTTTTGGGATATCATATTGTGCATGATTAATTACCCTACCTTTTTTGTTTAAAACATCCACTTTGGTTTTGGGGGAAAACGCCGAAGAGTTGGCTGTGAGACGAATGTCGAATAATCTCTGAAAAGCTCGGAACAATACGTACAAATCCTTATTGCTATCATAATCACCCATTGGAACAGAAGTAGTTTCAGTAATAGGCCTCAACCTACGATATTTTACTGAAGGCATATAGTCGATTAGGCCTATATTTGTTCTAATAAGCTCAACAGGTTCGTAGTGCCTAATGGATACAAAAGATTCTACAGTTGAAAATTTTGATATCCTTATAAAATATAAAATAATAATATCTATCGATATCATATTACTGATACGAGGAGATTCAGTTTCAATTAACTGTTTATTAATATACTTAACATTTTGTTTTTAAAAATGGCATTATTCTAAAATATTCTAATTGTACTCAATGCGTGAATTTAATATCACGAGAAAAGCTTATTACGTTTAATTTACAACTATTTGTTTCTTTTTTTAATCAGCACACGTGAGTAACGAGCTTTGATGTTACAAATATTCCCTTAAATGAAACTATTAACATATGCATATCTGAGTTTTCGCGTAATAACATTCCTCTAAGTAATAAATTTTAAGTTATAGATGTAGAAGAGCTTTTAGAACAGGTTAATAACGAAAAGAAATAAACGTACTCAAAACGGGCTTGACTGGTATACTGTTTACGGGTTAACTCGAATAATTCGTCGCTTTCTGTCTCAGTGCGAAATATAGCAATCGGAACTATATGAAATGATAAAATAACAGAATTATTAGGGTTAAGTGCGGTCGGACTAAAATTTTGTTTTACCCCAAGCTCCATTCTTGAGAAATTCTAAGAAAGGCTAAATATTTTTGCTCCATGATCGTTATTTGCTCAAATTTTATTAAAATAGGGTCTAAAACTTATATATATAATCTAATAAAATTTAATATGACATAGAGTCGGAAGAGGACGTAAGTCCTAAACCCAAAGTGCCACATAAATTTTAAGTTAATAAAAAAGACCCAAGTTTTATTTATTTATTGTGACTGAAAAATTAGAAATTTAACTTATTTTTAATTGGAAATGTTCGAGAAAAAAATGGTGTAGTTTTAATTTATCTAATTATATATTTGTTTGCTAGTTGTAACGTGATTATTCAATAATTTAAGGACTACTGTAAAGTTAAAAGTAATATCATGTTATAGATGCATGCAGCGATGTATTGTGTTCAATGTGTTGTCACATCACACGAGATTATGCGATACGTAGTAAACCATCTTTGAATACGACCAATTCAACATAGAAGAGTCCTAGACAATAGAAAGTATCAGCTGAATTACCGGTTCAGAACGAAAAATATGAACCCCATAGGCAGACAGTCAAAACTGAATCAGCGTTTTCTATCTTCTTATTTTAATATAGGTATTTTTCAAGAATTTTTTTTTTTTTAGATATGCGCAGTTTTCACATAACACATGATCTAAAAAGTTGTTAAGTTCCTTTCGCTCTAGCTCTTTTTATTTTCTACCCCCCCCCCGGAAATAATACCTGGTTTGCTCGTTAAGTCAACATTAGTTTTCTCCATTCTTGAAAGAGTGTTGTTCCGCAAGACGTCAGAAGAAATACTTGGATAAAAGATAATAAAGAATAAATTGAAACGTCTAAGTGAAAACTTTTTCTAGTTTATTTCGTGCGACGTTTCGAGCAGACGCCCTTCGTCAGGCACTAAAGAACGTGTTACTGTGGAATTAGGCTCTGAGCCTAAAGGGAAGGAACCCATCTACAACTTTTGGGTTTTCTTTACCAACTAAATGATGAGCATATTTGGGAACAGGTTTCAATCCCACAATCCAGGTATCAAGGAGAAAAGAGCTGAAAGTACCTACCTGACTGTATGTGACGATTCAGGTGATGATATGCTAGAGTTGGAAGTAAAAGACAGCTACGACAGTCATTTGAGACACCCCTGCCATCTTTCTAATCGATATGGCTTGGATTGCTCGGCTTCAGGAATAAGACTGGTTTGTTGGTCATAAGATTAATAGAACAAAAAGGGCTTAGTAACACTTACTTTCTGAGTTATCGAGCAGAGTTTCACTACGGGAGATATCCACCAGATGTCAGATGGTAGCTACTTGATTATCACACTTAGGTTGTTAGTAGATATAGATACTAATGAGAGTTTTAGGTAGAAAGTCTTAGCTTGGTATAATTCTGCTGATGATTATTTATTTCATGATGCCTGGAAAGAAAGATGAGTTGGATTTGCTGGCTCCTAGATGTTAGCACAATAAAAGCCATATCTACCAAGTCATAGCCTGGTATCGCAACTCAAGAAGTTTATTGAATTAACTTGTATGGGAGGTGGAGCACCCAGTTATAAGCTACTAGAGTATATGACAATATGTAATTGTGATATATGTACGTAGAAATAAATATATATAAGTAAATGTATGTGGTCTTACAAGTGTATAAGAATATTACCTAAAGTCATTTACGAATGTTATATAACACGGATGGATCAATTACATAAAACCACAACTATTAAACACCATGTGAATGGAAACAAGGGATTTGATCTGGATCTTAAGACCTTGTGGTGTGAGGTTAACTGTGATTACTGACCGGGAAGGTATTATTTGAAGATATAGTGAAGGTCTTGTTTTGAGTTAAAATGGTAGAAAAAGTTTTAGTTTTGATATTTAAATAATCGGAAGCTAGTAAATTTTATGAAAGGATAAGAGTAATGAAGAAAAGACATTTTTGCATACTATTTTTCAGTAAAAGTAGGTCAAAATGTTCCAGTTGGATCAAAATAAAGTATTCACGAGTGGAAGAAATTATTGGTAGTAAATGAAATTGACAAACAGTAGCTTAGATAATATAGTAAATATACACTTAGTGTACACAGTGTTATATTTAGTTATTGTTAGAATATTTTCCAACAAATATGTATTGAAATATCTTACAAGCCTACAGTTTTCTAAAAATGTTCTTAACATTGTTTGAGTCCAAGATGCAGTTGCAACACGTGAAAATGCAGGCTGTAAGTTTACTAGGTGAAACTGTAAGTCATACCAAAGTCACAACTAAACTTATAACTTGAAGAAGGTCCTTAAGGAGAGACAGTGTAAATATTAGTGGATTCTAACAGTCAAAAGTAAATGTTGACATAGGCTAACTTGAGTCAGCTCATGTGTAAGAATCAGTTTTTCAGTCTCGATTCACTCCTTCCTACTATAATCAGGTTCTATCGATGTGGTAATCAGATTGTAGAAAAAGGAATTAGACAGGGTTAGAAAGTAAGCAATGTTAGCTGTTGTAGGTATGGGTGATAGAGTGCAGCACAGATAAAGGTATTGGTCAAGAAGAGACCCATTGTAGCCTGGAGTCTGGGAAGTTTACAGTTGTTGGTGTTATAGTTTCTATAGGTGATATGGGGTATGAGTACACATGAAACCTGTAGAAATATCACTTGATCAAGGTATAGTGTTATGATCCAGGTTTCAAAAGGATTTTAGAGCAGCCCTTAGTTGTAACGAACAGTTACAGCCTATTTTTTAACCTACATAGCTGCCCGAACTTTTGACAAATTAGACTTCACCTGAACTTACAATTTTAATCCTAAAGATAAAATTATTTCCATTTTGGCTATCTTGTTTTCACTAGCCAGTAGTGTTTTTATTTTCCAAGTGTTTGTGCTTAAACCACCAAGTTTCAAAGCTGCTAGCTCGAAATGTCATCCTTCTTTGAATATAAACTTGTCGATTGTTCAACCTATTATTTGATTTTGATATTTTCGTCGCCTATGCGGTTTTAACTATATTTGTCTTTTCAAAGCTGTAGTAAGTCATGGAAGGTAAAGACGTGCAAGAAAGATGATTTCACTTTTAGCAACTCCAAGCTAGGGACCTGAAAAACCACAGGAAGTGGCTTACACTGATAATATAGGTACTGGAAATAGCTATTGTGGTGTGGTTTACGAAGCTGAACTTATGGATACTGAGGGGCTGGTAGCAACCAAGAAAGTTTTATAATACAAGAATACAGAGCTGCAGATTATGAGATGATTGGATCATTATAATATACTGTTTTCTACTGAAGATGTGAAAAGATAGATGAAGTGTATCTCAACTTGGTGTTGTACTTTATTCCTGAAATGGTGTATATAGTAGCAAAGACATACTATACAATATCATTTATTCAGTTGTACATATTAATTAAAATTCTCCCATTTTTTGTATGTTAGGTTTCTCAGGTCTCCTTACCTTACATACCAAATTTCAAAGAAATCGTTTTAACTCTTAACGTTTTACAGCAGGCCAAACTTAGACTGAAATTCTTCGTACAACAAAAAAATCTAATCACAACCAGCACAGCTGTAAAAAACTGCTACCAAAAGAAAAATAATTGTGACAGAAAGATGTGAAATTAAAGTTTGCTACCAAAATGAGAAAATGTTAATGACTGAAATTTTATGCACAAAATTTGTAGAGTATGCATATCTACTACAAGAAATCACATGGGACGCTGTTTTTGTCGGTTCGTAACTAAACATAAAACAGTAGGGGTGGCTACTGCAGGTAGCGTGAAACTCAACAAACAAATCTTTCTCAATCATGCTCATTTGTACACACAAATATTAATGCTTATGACGAGGGGGCTATTGTTTTGACATTGCTTGGAATAATTGAGTTATTTCCTTTTATGTATGTGTGCAGTTTGTTTTGTATGATTAAAGGGTTGTTTTATATTTTGTGTTACATTTCAGGTGAATTTACGATAATCAAAGCTTTTTTTATTTGTCTTCTTATTTCTTTTACTTACTTAGGTTAAAATATTTTGTGTTTAATTGATTTCTCTTCATTAATTTTGTCTATGTTATCACAGAGGATCTATTTCAATTTCCTGTATATATATCTTGTATTTTGTACAACGATTTATTTTGTTAGTATATATATTCTTACTTTATTATGCATTTTTTCTTGTGAAGGGTTATTTTAGTTTTTTTTGTATTTTTATGTTTGGTATTCATGTTGATGTTCAGATTTCATATATTAAAAGGTGTTTTATCATGCATTGTAACGTTAAGGTGCATTATATCATTTTAAAAGGGTTGGGGATGTTTTAGTATTTCTTGACCATGGTATATTTGTAAATTCAATTGGTTTTAAATTTAAAAATAATATATTGG